TTTTTGCACCCTCAGATTCCAGATTTTCAAATATTGTCCTATCCTAACAAACCATACTTTAATGGAAAGCTTATTTATTCAGCTTTCAGATGATGTATAAATCTCAATTTCGAGAAATTGACCGTTATGACTGGTTTTGTGGTCCAGGGTCACATTTATATTATTATTAATATACACATATTTCTCTTATCACTTCAGACGTTTGTTCTGTTTGACCGTAGCATGCCCTGAGAAGTGGACTTCACAGGATATTCCGACGTGATTCCAGTTCGAAGGGAGCGTACATTACAGTATATGTTCCATTCAAAGAGCATTAAGGGAAGTCGGGAAGTTATGGGTCACCATACTTGGCCACATGTCACTTCACTTTTTTTTTACTTTTATTAAAGTGTGCGAGATGTGAATTTAAATTGTATTTATTTACAGAGCTAGGCCTATATTATGCCACACTTCTCTAGTAAGTTTCGTCTGTGTGTGAAGACGCTACAGGCCGTGGCGTAGTACAAATCCACGAATGAATGTTCCTTAGTGATTGCAATGGATTTCCCGTGCTCAGAGAGTAGGGAGCAGTGAACACTGTTTAGGGATCATGTCAATTGGAGCACAGTTGATGCATGGAGCTCTCTTCTTACGAGCTGGTGATCTGAATCAGGTGTGTTAAATAAGAGAGACATGCAAAATATGCAGAGCGGTGGTACACGATGACTGGAATTGAGAACCACTGTTCTAGTATGCCTAATAAGACCTTGATTAGCTGGTTCAGGTGTGTTTAATTGGGGTTGGAGCTAAACTCTGCAGGACACCAGACCTCCAGGACCGAGTTCTGCTATAGAGCTTCCACAAAAAACGGAAGTTCAAAGACAAAATTCTAAAGATGGCTGCGCATTGTTTCTCTGAAGCATATACGATCTATAAAGAATGCAAAGGCTCCATGGAACCATAGATGCCATAACCTTTATTTTTAAGAAGAATGTAGATCAATTTAATTTATTTAATCTGGTCACCAGCTGAGAAGCACAAAACAAATGTCTTCAGAAGACTTTAAATACAAGAGTTAGCAGTTATCTGGGTCAAATCTGTCTCAAAATCCCAAAGGAGGAGCATCATTATGAGTTCCACAATATCTACTGTCAAAATCTTAACATAAATCCTCTTTAACACTCCAGATACTCCAGGCACATTAATTATTCCTCTCTGTTTGGATTTAGTCGAGAGGCCTTGATATGAACTCAGGAGCCAGAGGAACATTAGAGGATACAATTAATATCTGACATGGTCAAGAGTTCTGTGCTCAACTTCTCACATTTGAAGAGGATGACAAATGAAAATTAACCTCCAGACCTTAATTTTTTCACTGCGTCGAGTAAAAGGGAAGAGATGGTAATTCATCCATGGAATCAGCATGAGTGGTCGGGGTGGCGACAGGAAGGGCTTCGGTGTAACGGTCATTAGTGAAGCACTCAATGCTAAACGCAATCAGAAGATGCATTAGCCGCAAAAGGGAGGGAGCAAATTTTACAGCACATTTCTGCTTGTAAATTGATTTGACTTGAAATGAGTGAATGATCAGAGGTTTAAATTCTGTATCATTGTGCAGTAATGACAGCTAAAACTCTGTATTTCATCTACTGTATCACCAGCTAATCTTCAGATCTTAGCTCAGCTTGCTCACTTGATAGCTTCAGAGACACGCAGGATTACCTTTGGAAATCCTTTTCATAATGAAAAAAATAAATCAATCAATTTGACAAATTCATTTGGAAATGTCTCTATATTCTCTATATTGAAGTTTGAGGGTGGGATGATTTTTTAATGCTTTTTTCTTGTAAATTGATTTGACTTGAAATGAGTGAATGATCAGAGGTTTAAATTCTGTATCATTGTGCAGTAATGACAGCTAAAACTCTGTATTTCATCTACTGTATCACCAGCTAATCTTCAGATCTTAGCTCAGCTTGCTCACTTGATAGCTTCAGAGACACGCAGGATTACCTTTGGAAATCCTTTTCATAATGAAAAAAATAAATCAATCAATTTGACATTCATTTGGAAATGTCTCTATATTCTCTATATTGAAGTTTGAGGGTGGGATGATTTTTTTAATGCTTTTTTTTTTTAAGAAGTCTTTTATGCTTCATTTGACTATAAATACAGCAGAAACAGTAATATTGTAACAATAATGACATACATTAATATACTTTTAAAATGTCATTTTTTTGCCCTGATGGCAAAGCTAAAATTCACTCGTCTTCAGTGTCACATGATCCTTCAGAAATCATTCTAATATGCTGATTTGCCGCTCAAGAAACATTTCTGATTATAAATGTTGAAAACAGGGTGCAGCCGTTTCTTTCAGGATTCTTGGAATTGAAAATCCATTTCCTTTGACAGCATTTATATTGAAATAAAAAAAATATTTTGCGACTAATTATCTTTACTGTCAATTTTGATCAACTTAATGCATCCTTTCTGAATAAAAGTTAATTTCTCAAAAAAAAAACAAAAAAAAAACTACCCCAAACTTTTAAACAGCTGTGCACTTCAAACACATACTGTATTATGCAAGTTTTAAACACTGTAACATCAAACAGTGCAGAGTTACAGTCTGATAAGTAAAATGAAGATTTTATTTTAGACACATTTGAGCAATATACAAAACATTTTATTTGTTTTTCAAAGGAAGTGCTTCAAAATCTACATTTTTTACATTTTAAGGAAAATGTTTCATGGAAAAAACAATAACAATATCAACTCAAAAATCTTCAGAGTTCATCTTCACAGTAGACCAATGCACTCTTCTCTCATGTGAATAACTGCCCATCATCTGTCTATCACACAAGTAACAAATGCAGATGTATCACGTACACCATACAATGTATTTTTGGCTATTGCTACAAATATACCCCAGCGACTTAAGACTGCTTTTGTGCTCCAGGGTCACATATACACTAAATATAATATATAAAATATTCACTAAACAGTTGAAAAACATTATTTTCTGCATGTAATGTTTCTAAATTTCTGTTAAAATACTTGTCTTAGCTTCATAAGCAGTGACAACTATAAGCAAGCCGTCAATCAGCAGTTTTCCCTCTTCATCTACTTTTTCTAAAACACAATTTGCTAACAGAAGCACGTTGCATGAAAAAATCAGCCGACCACTGATGTCCCTTATATATAAAAAAAGCTTTAAAATTGACATATGAGGTATTTCTGTGTAATTTATGATACACACATGTCAAAATGTTGCCACAATTGAAAACCACTATTGAAAACTTATGGGAAAATCCAGAGAGAAGCCATGGTAAATTAGCCTGTCGGGTTGCTCTACAAACTGGTATCCCGACTGAACAGCTCTGTTGTGTAATTCCTTTAGTGAGACGCTGTGTGCAAATCTAGGGATGTCAGAAGTATTGAGGCTGGATTCACAAGACATCCTTCAGAACAAAATTATTCTTCATTTTTCTTTTAAGATTAAAGTTAAGAATATGTTGTGTTCCCAAAACATTTTTTATTTTTCCTTAGGATTGTTCTAAAGACAGATATTAAATTCCTGGGGGAAAAAATGGCTGCAGGGAGTGCAAAAAGACAGTCTTTGAGGTTTTCTACATTGAGTTATTCAGCAGTCTTCAGAAAGAATCATCGTACATTTACATAACAAAGGAGACATTTCCTTAAAAAAATTATATAAAATAAATAAATGAAAATATCCATTTCAGGAATAGCACATTCTTATAAGCTTCTCAGAATTTATTTTAAACGTCTTTACTTCTTAAGAGGATTTTCATGAATCTAGTACTTCGGTACTAAGTGGATACATAAAATTGTACTTAAAAACCTTCACACTGTGTGTATGCGGTCTACACAATGAGTGTGACAGTCAATGTTCAAATGTTCTTGGTCTAAATGCCTATTTTAGAGATATTAATGTCTAAAGTTAAGGCAAACAAGCAGAATTGCAATGTTAATCCATCTTATATCAATAACAACAATTTACTGATATTCTGAGACCTTCAAGCAAGTGTGTATTGAAATGTTGGGCCAAGTTCATTATTAATGAATCACCTCCTACATCTCTACCTACACACACACACACAGACAAGATGTTGTGAAGACGGGAAAATCTGCAACACATTCAGAGTAAAGAGACCTCTAGAGGCATGTGGTCTGCAGATCCTGCTCTATTTCCTTTCCAGCCTCATGTTTTTCACTCTTTCTTTGGCTCTGTCTCTTTCGTCTGGTGTGTGTGCGGTTATTGTGCTGTCAGAGTTCTCTGTCCTGGACAGTGTCATCACGAGAGTGGTTCTGATCCAACACATTACCGCTGCTGGAGCTTCAGCACCAAAGCACATATCCCATCATCCCACATTATCTGCAACACATCAACTAATATCACCATAACCTCCAAAGAGAATCAAGACACATGCAGCGAAAAGAAACAGCTAATCGAGTTAAAATATAAATGAAATAAGATGAAAAGATAAAGACCACTGCACAAAATCTCTGGCAGCGGAATTTTGCAAAAAACTCCTGAGAATTGCAAAGTTCCAAAACCTGTCTGACATTCATTCTACTGTGGAACTAAAAAAGAGAAATTCAGCAGAATGTTCACGCTGCTCTTTACCATACAATGAACACAAACAGTAACTAGAACATCCAGAAACACCTCATTAGTGTGTGTGTGTGTGTGTGTGTGTGTGTGTGTCTGGGCCAGTCTTTCCAGGACTATGCAGAAGCCTCCGTGTGTTCAGGCCTGAGCCAGTCGCTCCAGGACTCTGCGATACTCCGCCAGCACGTCCTGGTAGCTTTTCTCCAGCTCCTCGTGTTGCAGTCTCGTGTCCATCTGGCTGATTTGGGACGCCAGCTCCTCTGGCCTCAAACACTTCTGCATCTTAGTCAGTTCACGCTGGTTTTTCTACACACAAGGCAGAAGCGGTGTCAGTACAGCGCAGGAGAAAATAAGATGCAAAGCAGTTCACCAGATCCCATCCAAAAACTGCCATTGAACAGAAACCCCAGGGCACATGTGATTACATCACAGCTGAACAACCCAACGAGAGAACGAGAGGAGAAATAAAAGAGCTATGAACAAAAACGGAGTCTGTACGGTTGTCGAGAGGCTTTGGCACTGAACCAAGACTGACGAAACATGAATTCAAAAGAAAGCACACACACTCATAGAATATATACAGATTTAGGATTCGCATTCACTAAACTCGCAGCTTCATACGCAGTGCCAACTATAAGAAGCCATCAATCAGCTGATTTTCTTTTTAATCTACTTTTTCTAAAACGTCCGCGGGGAGTTTACATGCATGACATATCAGCCAACCACTGTTGTCTTCATAGAGCAACTTACATTTTAAAAAACAGCCACTTTAAAATTTACATTTGAGGTATTTCTGTGTGTAATTTATGATACACGAATGTCAAAAAGTAATGTTGCCTTGCCACAGACCTTATTTTACTCAAATCAAAAACCACTATTAAAAAACCTATGGGAAATTTCAGAGGGAAGCCATGGTGAATTAGCCTGTCTACAAACTGATAGCACGACTGAACAGCTCTATTGTGTAATTCCTTTAGTGTGTGCAAATCCAGGGATGTCAAAGGTACCGAGGCCAGATTCACAAGACATTCTTAAGAACACAATTCTTCTTTTTCTTTTAAGAATAAAGTTAAGAATATTTTGTATTCCCAAAACAAACACAATATGTGTATGCGGTCTACTCGATGACAGTCAATGTTCAAATGTTCTTGGTCTAAATCCCTGTTTAAGAGATATTAATGTCTAAAGTGAATGTAAACAGGCAAAATATCAGATCTGTGCATTAGGTCCTACAGTGTCAATCCAGCCTATATCTATAATATTAATCAAACAACAATTTATTGATGTTTTAAGACTTTCCAGCAAGTGCGTATTGAAATGTTGGGCAAAGTTCATTATTAATGAATCACCTCCTGCATCCCTACCTACATACACACACAAACAAGATTTTGCGAAGACAGGAAAATCTGCTGCAACACATTCTGAGCAAAAAGACCTCAAGAAGAGAGAGAGGGGGGGGGGCATATGGTCTGCAGATCCTGCTCTATTTCCTTTCCAGCCTCACTCTTTCTTTGGCTCGGTCTGTTTCGTCTTGTGTGTGTGTGCGGTTATTCTGCTGTCAGAGTTCTCTGTCCTGGACAGTGTCATGATGAGAGCGGTTCTGATCCAACACA